TGCAGGAACTGTCCTGTGTGTCCTCTGTGATATTTCCTGGGCCACATCTGAGGTATCCTGGTGAAATGCTTGCTCATACTCTCACTGAATTCCCCTGCTGGGCTGTTTACCATGGATGCGCATTTCAGAGGCACTTGATTTGGGGCCATGACTGTGAGTTTCCTTGAGTGAGACTACAGCTCCCAGGGCTACATGGTGCTATTCCCACAAGGCTGGGTCCCTGAGGGCAGGGCAGGTTCCCCTCTGCTTGCATGTGACAGTGCTTGGTATCTGCTTCCCTGTTAACTTTTCCATTCTGGTAAGCATGTCAGTCCTTTCCAGAAGGTTCAAGGTCAGCTCTTTCAATCAAGTTCTTGAAGCTTACAAGTCTCTAGATAAGGTCTCTTGCCAGCAATTACTTGCAGACAAACCCTTTCTTTTTTGCATCAGTGATATAAACCGACCTGACCTTAGACAAGGGAGCTGTGCGAGGTATGAGGTGGGGTCAGCCCTCCAGGTAGTGCCCCTTGATGGTACGGGGAGAAAAGTGAAGGATGCTATGGGATTAGGTCTGAGACCACATACCAAAATTTTAAAATGCTGCTGTAGCATGCACAAACTGAAGGGAAACTCAGGAAAAGGAGCATAGCATTTGTCATGACAGGGGTGGGTGGACCCCTGGTAGTACCAGCTGCTGTTCTGCGGGCAAATTCCTTCTAGCTTGCATTATGTTGCTTCATCTTCAGTCCTCATGCCCTGCCCTGCTTATACTGCCTCTCATCTTAGACACAAGGTGGCACCCTCTGTGCCCATCCTACCTCAATCCCAAGCATGACAAACTACTGGTTGGCAAAACACACCCAAAGACATCATGAAAATGAAGGGACACATACTGAAAGTGTTTTCACTTTCATAATACGAAACACTGGTATAATTGCTTTACTCCACTAATGCAAATGCTGATATCATACTCTCTGCTGGTAGAGAGAAATGCCAGCAGTTCCTGGCAGGCAGAGTGCACCATGGGTGGAAAACAAGCACCCAGAAGCCCTCCACACATAAACTTACAGAGCACCACACAAACATCCACAGCATGGTGGGTACTACTGCTACACAGGACAAAAGAGAGGCAGGTAATGTTCACTCATACTTTCCAGAAGCAATGTCATTGCACTGAAGTCATTGCTTGTGTTTTAGATGAGTCAAAGCCTATGATCACCCCATTCCTCATCTGTATGTCTTGTTCTTCATCTGTATGTCTCGGTCTTTCCCTGTGCCTATGGATACTGCTCTTTCCTTTGAGGCCACAAAGGGCCACGATTTGGTTTTCTGAGGAAAGCTGGGGCTCTGTGAGTGGAAGGCCATTGCTAACAGACACACAGGTCAATGGTGGGATAGTAGTGGGGGTTCAGCTTGGCAAAGCCCAGGAAGGGGATATGATCTGATCCAGCCCAGGTAATGGAAAGTTTGGTAATTTATGTATGAGAAAGACTCACCCAGGTCACCTGGTCAATGGAGGGTGCTGCTACTGGGGACGGAGTGGGACTGGCCTACTGTGTGCTATCTGGTATCTGGTATCTGCAGCAACAGTAGAGCTACAGGGCTTTTTGTTTTTTGGACCAGGAACACTTAACCATTGAGTAACAACCCCAGCCCTTTTTTATCTGGAGACAGGGTCTCATTAAATTGCTTAGAGCCTTGATAAGTTGGTAAAGCCAGCTTGGAACTCTTGACCCTACTGCCTACTGGTTAGGATTACAAGTGTGGGCCACTTGCCCAGCATAGCTGCAGGTCTTAACTGTTGGGAAACCCAGATGGTGGGGTGGGAGGGAAGAGAGGGCCTGGTGCTGCTGCCCAGAAGCTGGTCCAGGTGATTCTACCCCATCCATGTAGCTGGCAGGTCAAAGTGAGAGCAGGGCAGAAGCAGAGAACTGTGTGAGATCCACCTGGGTGGGCCACCCTCCTTAGGTCCCTAATCTCCACTCTCCATTCTCACCCTTTCTCTCTTCTTTGGGTGCACAGACTCTAGGCCATCTTGAGAAGAAGAGAATCTCTACTTCCTCTGAAAGCAAAGTCATGAACAAGATGACACACAAGAACAGGAATTTGGATTAGATAAGATTAAGGAAACACCTATTTTTGCTTTGAACTAAGCATTTATAAAAGTCAGAGGTCGATTTAACACAAAGTTATTGCTAGTTCTGGCTGAGATTCATCCAAGTAGGGAGATGCTATGAGCAGGGAAAGGCCCACACCTGGAAGATTCCAGGACCCACTGCAGCTACCAGAGTTGTGCCCCACCCAAAGCCCTAGGTCCAGGGGCTGGGGAAAGGGGTGTAGCTTGCTTTCTGGGGAGCTCTGGACCAAGTTCTGGCTCAGAACAGGACTTTCTGAGTACTTCTCTTCTGTCTGCAGGCTTCGTGCTGGTCATTGGGTTGGTGACATTCTACAGAATTGGCCCCTACACCAACCTGTCCTGGTCTTGCTACCTAAACATCGGTGCCTGCCTTCTGGCCACATTGGCAGCTGCCATGCTCATCTGGAACATTCTTCACCGAAGGGAGGACTGCATGGCACCCCGGGTGATTGTCATCAGCCGCTCCCTAACAGCACGGTTCCGCCGTGGGCTAGACAATGACTACGTGGAATCTCCATGCTGAGAGGCCCTTCTCAGGACTTTACCTATGAATATCTACTATAACAGAAAAGTTTAGAAATGGAGGGACTCTTCCATGTCTGCTTGTGTAGAGGTATGGGATAAGTCTGGTAACCCATAATATAAATCTGTATGATAACTTGTATATATTTACTGTGTTACATACAAATATACCCTATGTCTTATATGTCTTATACGTCACGTGGACCACCTGCTCCTCCAGTACCATTTCCCTTGGACAGTGCAGCATGGCTTCATGCCATGTGTTTCAAGGGCGAAGACGAGAAACTGAGACAGGGAAGAGGTGATGTGGCACCCTGCTCTCTGCCTGCCTTTGGGATTAATTCATTCTGAATCTGTTGAGAGGGCATCCCTGGTAATATTTCCTTTCACAAAGAAGAACACCCAGGAAGTTTTTCATAAAGTGTCCATGATATTCCTTGAGTGAATCAGAATTTATAACAGATGGTTTTATGCCATAATCAGATTAGTAGTATGCATTTTGCTTGACTATTTTTCTAAGTTAAAATAAATGCAAACCTCTTAACTTTATCTAAAAACTGTGTCTACCCTATCCATACTGCCAAAAGGGGAATTTCTTTAATGCTGATGTTACGAGGGGAGAAAGGATCTCCCTGAAGATCTGGTGGGAGTACATGGCCTTTATCCATGGTTCTGTGCAATGAAGTCTCTATGGACTCTGAAAACCATGGCCTTGGGATGGCAGATCAACAAGACACGGAGGAGAAAGAACTCTGCTAGTTTTCCCCACGGGGACCTCTAGCCTCTCCGGAGGTTCTGTGGGTGTGGCGTGCCTGTAGAACCAGGCTGCCTTCAGCTAAGCCTGTCCCTCAGTCTGCAACTCCCTAGGTTGGGCAGGAAACACCTCAGGTCTGGGTCTGCAATTCAGGGATCAGAACTGGCCCCCAAACTCAAGGCTGTCAATCAATGCATATAACTATAGTCCTGGTGGTTGGCTGGCTGGGCCTCTGCTTGACCAGGGTCACCAGGAGGTAGAAGAGGAGCCTAACATTGCACCTGACACTGGAGGCAATATGTAAGCTGGCCTCCTGGCTGCCCCAGAGCTTCCAAATGTCTACTGTGTTCAACCTTCCAGTGAAAAGAAAGTAATCAGTTTGGATTCTGAAGCCATGTTGTGCCAGGAATCTGTTGCTAGCCGGAACAAATGGTAAAATGGCACACATTTTAACCCACATAAAATGACTCATAATGAATGAAAAACAATTATGGACTAACCATCTACGACATACTCAGCCCACAGTATATAGAAATGACCAGACTCATGCTTGCAACTGAGCATGTTGATGTAAGCATTCAGTTCTTGCCTTCTTCCACTTGGCTCCTTTCCTAGCAATTGTTAGCACTATATGGATGACTATGTAGAAGCTCACTGAGGTTTAAAGTTGGCTATGGCATTTGTTCTGGCTGATCATGCTCACTGGAAATGAAAGTAATCCAAGAGAGGCTGGGCTAACCATTCGGTCTCTGCATGTCACCTCCAAACCAAAGGCCCTCTTTTCTACATGGCCAATGTGGACAAAGGTCCTTCCAGCTATAGTAAAGGACTGGCCACATTGGTCTGAGACAGGGAGTGAGGATCTCAGGGTGCTTCCCGCACCACAGTCATCATAGCATACAACACCTGCTTCAAGCAACCGAGTTTCACACCTTTCCATATTTTTCTACCTGTTCAAAATTAAAATCCATCAAATGCTCTTGTAAGGATTTCCAAGTTCCCTAGGTAATGGAGACGAGGTCCAGGCCCTGACTGTAATTGTTACAGCAACTCTAACTGCATTTTCACCTTGGTGTTTTTAGGGTTTAGTTATTAAAAATTTTCAGCAAGACTTATCAACTGCAGAACTTTCTACTATTAAGTATCCTGAACACTCAAAATATATGAAAACAGCTGGGTACGGTAGGGTGCACCCATGATCTAAGAAACTTGGGAGGCTGAGGTTGGAAGATTACAAGTTCAAGGTCAGCCTCAGCAACTTTGCAAGATTTATAAAAATAAAAATGGCTAGGGATGCAGCTCAGAGGTAGAGAACACCTGGGTTCAAACCCCAGTGCCAAACCGCCCCCCCCCAAAGAAACACAACAAAACCAAAACAAAACCACCATTAAAAACATCTGAGAGGCTCTAGTACCACAGATGCCAGAACCAGGCTCACTGCTTTGCCACACTGTGCACCACCTGAGGCTGGCTAGGCACATCTGGGTACCCAAGCTCAGTGGCAATTCATTGAGAGAAAATACCATTCAATATATCATGACACTTGATATTTAAAAATCCAGTCAAGAAGGATAGCAAGGAGAAAGGAAACAATGTGTGTCACCTCACCTTTTAATGAGCTTGATAGACTTGAAAGCTTCATCCATGTCTCCAACAGTGATAAAGAAGCTGAAGTTGAGCATGGCATCCCGAGTGGGCTTGTCACAGTCCTCCAGCCCCACAAAGTCTCGCAGGGGTCTCTTGGCCACCATCTGGGGGACATGGTGGTGCCCAGAATTCACCCTGTCTTCTCTGTCTTCTTCACCAGGCTGAAGGACAAAGGCCCCATGTGTCTGTTAGTTCACATATAAAGGTAATACCTACACTTAATTCTTTTGGAGAAAATCTACCCAAAGACAGGCACCCTGCTCTGCTCAGCCACAGGCCAAGTGATCTCTTTAGGATCATCAGGAATCACTCAGGCTTGGGGTTACAGATAACAGGCCAACAAAAGCTGTCCAGGTGTGATCTTGTTTTCAGCCTCTAACTCATTGAAGTCAGATTCTCACATTTAAAATGTCTATGACTGTTCTCATTTTCTGTTATGTTTCATTAAATACTTTTTACCAGCTTGAGATCACCAAGTCAGATACAAACACATCTTTGTGAGGTCTCTGAAAGTTATAAGAACAGTAGTCTGACTTCAGGAAAAACTTTCCAAAATGATAACCTGGATGACTCACTGGAATTTTCTGTCAACTGTCAACCTAGTGCCGTGTTCCCCAAAACAAGCACCCAGAGAAGGAGAGATGTTCCTACAGGGCACAATGTACAATGTGCAGGCCAACTTCCTTACCTGGGCACCTTCCTCCAACCAGGACCCCAAACTCAAGCTATTGAGACTCCTGCTGTCCCCACCACAGTCCCTTCTGCTGCTAACTGCTCTTCTGTACCCATGCCCCACTTACTCTCTTGTAGGGTGTCTCTCCAACCTGTACAAGCATTTCCTATACTATGGAGATTGTGACACACCCTCCTGGGACCTGCTTCTCTACAAGTCTTGATCTGCTAACACCCTGTGACTTCTTTTTTTAGTTGTTGATGAACTTTTATTTTATTTATTTATATGTGGTGCTGAGAATCAAACTCAGTGCCTTACACATGCCAGGCAAGTGCGCTACTGCTGAGCCCCAGCCCCAGCCCACCCTGTGACTTCTTAAAGGGTAACTCTAGCCACCTTCCTCTCCAGCTCAGTATCCACAAGCTCCTGACCTGTAGCCCCAGGGACCAGGTCTTATGGAGGAGAAACACTCAACCTGGACCTTCTCAGGCCTACTGTGGCTGTGGAGGCCCTTCTAAGCACAGCACAGACCATAACAAGGGCTCTGTTCAGAGCAGCTTGAATGTAGGGGTCATACATGGGTGTAACTGGGTCAGATCAGGCAGAAGGCTGAACGTTTGGGCAGCTTCTGCATCCAGTGGAAATGAAAAAAATGTACACAAAACAACAAGGAGTTTCTGCCTGCCTGGTGTAATGAACTGCAAAGAGGCAGCCAAACTTCCCCTGGATAACACTATCAGCTCTGGTGTGGGTCTGATGAGAACCCAATTTGCTGTGTGAATACACTAGGAAATTCTCATAATTCACCATGCCCTGTATGCTCACAGGAACTCTTGTTTCGGTTCCTCAAGACAACTCTGTGAGGCAGGGATTGTTTATCCCATGTGACAGGAGACTGGAGCAACAAGACAAGGTCACACAGTGTAGGTTCAGGGACCAAGGGCCTTTGTACTTTTTCCCCAGCTACCTCTGAATGTGAGAGCACTGGAAAAATGGGAGAAATGAAGCTTACGAGTTTGCATTTTGCAAATCATCAGAAGGGCAGTTTTTAAAGGAGCAAAATACATCTCACAGGTTGCCAACGCAGGTCAACTACACATTTTCTGTATGCAAATATCAGGTGAAGTGGCTGGTGTGTGCCACAGGTCCAGGCCAGGCCCAGCCCAGAGCTGAGAAATCCTGCCAAGCCTTGATTGGTAATGCTAGATGAGCTGGCACTAGAATCTCGGCTGACCGGCAGAGGTCCTCATGTGGGCATGCAGCTAGGTGGGAAGAGTGCGAACACACCAACACAGTTCATGAGTTGAAGCAAACGGTCTTGAGTAGACAACAGAGTCAAGATGACCAATCCTAACCTGAGGCTCTGCATTGAGATTGCATCATACATACCTCTTCTCTGGAACAACTATAACCATATAAAGAGAGATGAGAATGAGAGAGAAAAAGAAAAGATGCATGACATGTGGAAGAAACGAAAACCTACAATGAGAAAAATATGGGGGAAACTTTAGAGAATTTAAAAGAACTTTCCCAACTTTAAGTTCTCAAAGAAAAATTAAAGCATATAAGGAAACAAAATGAGATTGGAATTCAGAGAAACACCAGTCTGGTGCTGATTTACTTAAGGTAAATCAACTAAGGACACCTACAAAGAATCCTTGTGTTTGACAAGACACATCCACACTTTTCTGACCAACTCTATCTTAATGCACGTGGAAGTATAAACCAATGGTCAGGCCAACTTTGTGTGGCTGTGAGATACTGCTCTGTGCCATACCTTGGAGAGCCGCGGCCAGGTTACACTCTTACTTCCAGTGCATGTGTAACTATCCACAGGTCTAGCCAGCCCAGAACCAGAGACAGGCAATGTGTGCTCACGGAACTCTCACAAATCAAGGGCCAGTACCCTTCTTGCCTCAGATCTTTTATGCCACCTCCTTTTAAAGTGAGCCCCAACCCCAGCAAGAGCCCTGGTGGGTTCTCACGCTGCTGGGGACTGCCTGGAAGCCCATGCAATACAGTCTCATTGGTTCACTTGGTTGTACAGAGGGGCTGTGCCCACAACACTCAGGTCCTTCATCTGCTCTGCGTGTCCCTCTGTGGTCTATCACCTACCCCCAGGCTTTGGCTGCAGAATTAACAGATGCTATCTGCACAAAATTAGAAAAGAACAGGATCTTATTTTTAAGATCCATTTAAACCAGAAACATTTAAACCAGGTAAAAGTTGAAACTTTTTAGTCATCCTAACATGACAAAAAAAGGGAGATGGCAGAGGGGTGGTCTATGTGTCTATGGAAGGCGTGGACCCTGTAGGAGAGTGCTTCCTTCTTTTAGGAGATCAAAACTCCTAGCAGCTGCCACACCCCAGCTCTGAAGGGAAGTGGTAGCCCCTACACCCTGTAGGACAACCTGGGCTCACTGACAGCACCAGCCCAGGCAGAATTCTGAGCTGGCAGGTCCCTTGGGCTCCTGGGTGAAAAAGCCTCTCAAGCAACTCTGGAGGCCCCAGGGCTGGAGAACAACCAGGTGGTGAGGCCACTAAAAGGAGCCACTCACAGGCTGCCAGTCCTCCTGGATGAAGGATGATCTTGGGCGGACATGCCAGGCACCCTTTATTCAGCATGTCATTTCAGAACTAGAGACAGATTTGATTTTAGGTCTACCAGGGACCTGGCCATAAGGAGACTATGTCTCAAGGAAGGTAAAGAATTTGTTCAAAATTAACTAGTTAGGTATGTGTTCATGTGCGCAGAAAACGACCCCATTCTATGAAACCTCTGGAAAGGAGGCACTACCCTGTTCACAGCAACTGCCTCTACACTTGGGTTATAGAGATTTTTGACTATGGTTTTTACTTCTTTAATTATAGTTCCTAAATTTCCAACGTGCTCAGCATGACTTCTGACCATCCTAACAGCAAAGTCACTTTTTGGAATTTTTCCTAGCCCAGGAGACATCAGTGTGTGCAGATTTTCATGTAATAAATTACAGTAGATGGCTAAAGTGGCTTCAGGAGAGGTGAAATTGGGGAATCTGGAAGACTAACATGCACCTCAGTGCCTCATGAGGCTTACAAGAATCACACTAGCTGGGGAGGGCAGAGGAGCCTGCAGAGCCACACCTTTCTTGTGAAGTAATAATGGGGCACTTCCATCCCCACCAGCACTTGGTAGGCGGGAGGCCGGGGGAAACTCTCATACAGCAGGAAGCCATGCTCTTCGGAAATGAAGAAGGACAGAACCAAGACGTCCTCCTGGAAAGAAAGGATAATACTGTTTTTAGTTTGGAAATATCATTTACTGTTTTCCTTCTCATTTCCATTTGCACTGCCAGGAAGTTCACATAACCCAGAGAAAACAGGAGAGTCCACTCTTCTCAGAGCATGTGGCCCCTGTTTCCACTAGGGCTTCTCAACTGCTATCTGCCTCCGTTGGAAGGACCCAACCCACCTAGGCTGTGACAACCATCAGTGATACGTCACTTCTATCTGAGCTGGTGGCATAATAAAAAGGCTCTCTCTGTGTTTTAGATACCCCTTGGGTATCTTTACTCTGGGTGTGGTGGTGCGTGCCTATAATCCCAGTGACTGGGGAGGTTGAGGCAAGAGGATCTCTAGTTTGAGGATGGCCTGGGCAACTTAGTGAGTTCCTGTCTCAAGATTTAAAATGAAAATGAGAGGGCACGGTGGCACACACCTATAATCCCAGCATCTTGGGAGATTGAGGTAGGAGGATCGTCAGTTCAAAGCCAGCCTCCAAAAGTGGGATTCTAAGCAACTCAGTGAGACCTCTCTCTAAATAAAATACAAAATAGGGCTGGGGGTGTGGCTCAGGCCCACTTCTCACTGTCTTGGTGAGGCAAGTCCTGAAGTTTCAAAGTGGGCTGCCCTTTGCTTAGTTATCTGAGAGCCCACACAGATTCCTCTGAGAATGAGGTGGGTTAGAAGGAGGCTCACAATGTCTGATGTCCTGCAAGACAAAGAGCTGGACATTGTCAGAGGCCCCAGGTACAACTCAGGCACCGTGGGGCATATGGCATGGAGGTGGGAGGCTCTGTAGAGGAAGGACTTGGGTGGTCGGCCTTGCTGGAGGGTGATGGATGTGGTAGAATAGATGGAGCAGGGCCAGGCTGCCTCAGGTCCGACTGCAGCATGGGCTAACGTCGGGGTTAGTCCACCTGAGCTGCTTCAACATGTTTCCCAACTCAGAGGGAGAATAACTTAACAGTTGAGATAACAAGAGAACCTGGAGACAAAAAGGGTAGAGTAGCAACTGTACCAAGCCCAAAGAAAAGAGAGGCACCACATACCAAAGGCTTCCTACATTCAAGAAGGGTTGTGCGCCATCGACCCAGAGAAACAGTTCTGAATGGCAACCACGCCTTCAAATGGCGGGAAGCATGAGGCAGATGCTCCCCTCCACATGAATGCATTTCCTTACTAACTCTCCCATAAGCCCAGTAACCAAGACTCTGTGCTTGCCACACAGCCATCACCTGTGTTTCTACAAACACTATGTGGCAAAGTGGTCATGTACCGTGGGGCTGGCGCTGTCCTGAGTGAGGGGCTGCTTGTCTGCAGCCTGTGGTTGGGGTCCCAGCACCTCCTGCACGACCTCACACACGAAAAGCCTGGGCTCGCTCTGATCCCAGAAATGACTCACGGGAACATGATTTGTCAGCCTTTCATCTGCAAAAATGTGGCTCCTAGAACAGAAGAGAACCATCTCCAAATGAGAAGAGCATTCCTGTTACCATGCCCCACACCACTTGTCCCATCCAGTCATCAGGCTGCAGTCTCCATATGCAGGTGAATGTCCTACACTGCCATGTACCTTGTCAGGGCACGCTCAAGAGTTTGAGAAACTGGTTGAAGGGTCCTGGTAAGGTGCAGTATGAGGGATGCAGAATATGATGCTTGGGCTCTGGAGGTCTTGTAGAGGGTCCAGGACTCTCCCCAGAAGGCCCTTTTCCAGGACTAGTGGGATGGTGCCCCCTGCTAGGTAGCACAGATGCCAAGGCTTATAAATGCAGACCTGGGTTCCAGCCTTGGAGGTGACTATGTGATGATTCCTATTTTATCATGGTTCCTCTCATCTCTGAAATTCCATGTTTTATTGTCCCTGAACTCCACAAAGTACTGCAGGAAGACCAAAAGGAACTGGTTTAAATAATGAATAAGATTTAGGGGCTGGGGTTGTGGCTCAGTGGTAGAGCATTCGCCTAGCACATGTGAGGCACTGGGTTTGATCCTCAGCACTACATAAAGATGAAATAAAGATATTGTGTCCACCTATAACTAAAAAGTAAATATTAAAAAAAGAGAAAAGAATGGAAAAGATTTCAAAAGAGGAAAGGCACCTGAGTTGAGAGAGAGACAGTGACTCTCATCTGCCTCCTCTAGAGGTGCATGGTCAACCCAGGGGTGGGGTCGGGGGGTTTGCTGGCTCATCAGCCCATTCTGGCTATGTAGCAGGGTAGGACCCAGTCCTCATGGATGCTCCTGGCACCAGAGCTGGAGATGTGCCCATGGGCCACATCCTTCTCTAGCACTGCAGATGTGATGTGCACAGTGTTTTGGACAGAGCATTTCCTGAGTGCCAGACACAGTGGTTCCTTAGGTATGAGATGGCCTGGCAAGGGCTGAAGAATGGACAGAAAGAAGACTGCCATCCCTTCAAGGGAAGCCATGAACTGCGAAAGAGAGAAAAGTGAGTACTCAAAAGACATTTTACAGGGAAAACTGGGGACCTGGGTCACAGCAGAGTTTGAAGAAGAGGTTAGTTCTGAAGTTTTAAATATGGGTGGCCAAGAGGAGGGTGCTGTGGTGAGAACTGGACCTCTGGGGAGGGTGCTGTGGTAAGAACTGGACCTCTGGGAAGTGGGCTCTGACTATCCCAGAGGGGTAAGATGCTCAAAGGCATGTGTTCTGAAGCAGGAGAACTGGGGCTGGATTAGGAGAGAAGTGAAGATGGGAATGTTAAACTGGGGGAGCAGCAGGGGTGCAAGCTAGAGCATTTCAGGTCAACAGGTCAATAGGGCTCCACAGAAGGGTCTGATGAGGCAGGTATCACTCAAAAAAGGCAAGGGGACAAGGCAGGGGGACTCAGAGGCTGGACAAGAGAAGGTGTGTTGGAAAGTTAAAACTAGTGAAAGTGGGGCTGAGGATGTAACTCAGTAGTAGAGCACTTGTTTAGCATGTGCCAAACCCTGAGTTTTACCCTCAGCATAGGAAAACAAACAAACAAACAAACAAAAACCCCAAAATGAAAAAACCTACCCAAAGTAGTGAGCAGAACAAAAAGGATGCTAGAACAAGCACTGAGCCACCACTCAGTTCCTTTGCTCTTCCAGCCTTGGGGCAGCTCTGCGTCCTGTATTGCCATGCACCCTCAAGAGTTTGAGAAACTGGTTGAAGGGTCTTGGTGAGGACCCTGGTGAGGTACAGTCTGAGGGATCCATGCCTAAAAATTCCCATGGCATTTTTTTTCTTCTTTTGGTACCAGGGATCAAACCTGGGCGCGTAACTCCTGAGTCACATCTCCAGCCACCCCCACACCCCCCTTCTTTTAAATATTTTAAATTGTCAATGGACTGACTTTATTTATATATAGTGATAAGAATTAAACCTAGTGTCTCTACATACTAGGCAAGTGCTCTACACTGAGCCACAAACCTAGCCCCCCACTCCACTTTTTAACAAAATATTTTTAGGTGTAGTTGGACATAATACCTTTACTTTTATTTATGTGGTGCTAAGGATCAAACCTAGTGCCTCACATGTGCAAGGTAAGTAAGTGCTCTACCCATGAGCTACAACCCCAGCCTCTCTCCAGCCCATTTTATATTTTATATTGGGACAGGATCTCGCTAAGTTGCTCAGGGCCTTGCTAAGTTACTGAGGTTAGCCTTGAACCCTCAATTCTCCTGCCTCAGCCTCCTGAGCCACTGAGATCACAGGCGTGGCCACGGCTCCTAGCCCACGGCATGCTTTCCTGTTGGCACTCACCTCGCTGCTTATGCATCCACTTCTGATGTTAACTATGCTTCTATGCCACTGACACGGGGAGACTCGACCCCACCGCTCTCGGCTTGCTTTCCCACCTAAATTCATGCAGAATCAATGTGGATGAAGGTGACCTACTCTAAGCACTTGAGGTCCGTCCTGAGAATGTGTTCTCAAGGGCAGAAAGAAATACACATGTATGTTCCATTAACCTCTGAAGAAAGACAAATATATTCTTCACAAAGACAGTACCCTCCCTTCTGCTGGAGACAGCAATGGGTGTGAGGCTCACTCTACTGCCTCTTTCCTGTGACTCCTAGGCCATTTCTACAGACCCTATGGCCAGAGCCCCTCCAAAGTTCAAGTTCCATTTTCTTTCTTTCCTTTTTTGGTACCAGGGATTGAACCTGGGATACCTAACCACTTAGCCACACCCTCAGTCCTACTTTTTTTTTTAATATTTTTTTTTAGTTGTAGTTGGACACAATATCTTTATTTTATTTATTCTTACGTGGTGCTGAGGATTGAACCCAGCGTCTCACACATACTAGGTGAGTGCTCTACCACTGAGCCACAACCCTAGCCCTATTTTGTATTTTATTTAGAGACAGGGTCTCAACTGAGTTGCTCAGTGACTCACTTTTGCTGAGGCTGGCTTTGAACTCACAATCCTCCTGTCTCAGCCTCCCGAGCCGCTGGGATTACAGGCAAAGTTCAAGTTTGTACTCAACCAACTCCAGAACCTTAGCTATGGAGGACAGAGACCAAGGTCTTGAATCCACTACAATTGCACAAATTTCTGTTATATATCCTGTTCTTACTACTAGTAAATGCAGTGAAGTAAACTTCTGAAGCTTGAAACATAACTTAGGAACAAGTGAAATAGGCAAATTCTGTTTTCAACATTCTTCAACAAAATCCCCAACCATAATCTTACTTGTTAGTCTCTTGTCCATTAAAGGACAGCGACTCTCTCTGATCAATCTGTCCGGCCTTGAAGTCGAAGACAGTCACTGTGTCCATTTCAACATCATAGAAGCAGATTTTGGAATCGGGGCTGTTGTCAACCTGGGGAGAGAAGATGGGACAACTCAGGGACATGCCTGGACCAGTGCTGTGTGGGCCATGCTTTCAGAACTTACGCTCTGAGATCCAGCTTGCTTTTGTCCCACTGCTGCAGTCTCCAAGTGACTGCTTGATGTTGTCAGAACAGAAAACAAATTCTGAAAGACTGTTTAGCTGCTCTTAGTATGGAATGGAGATATTTTCCTAGCTGAAGTTGATCAACTCAGGAAATCAGTAGGAATCTGAATTCTGACAGAGCAACATGCCGGGTAAAAATGAAATAAACTTCACAAAATGGAGGTTGGAGCTGCGTGTTCCCAGCAACTCAGGAGGCTGAGGTATGAGGATTGCAAGTTCAAGGCCAGCCTGGGCAACTAATGAGACCATCTCTTAAAATAAAAAACAAAGGGGGAAGGGCAGGATATAGCTCGGTGGTGAACTCGGCCTGGATTCAATCCCCAGTACCCACCTCCGCCGCACCACCACCACCACCACTTGGAGGCTGGCTACACCAGGGAGTAAGTACTGTCCACCATAAGGCCAGGAGTGGAAGCATCACAAGGCTCACCACACCCACTATCCTGAGCAAGCCCACACTGCTTGCACTCAGCCTGCTGTCCAGGGTGGCCTGGGAAACTTTCTAAAATGACTGCTCCACTCACAAGTTCACAGCAGCACTACTCATGAGCAAGGGGAGACAGCAAGTGTGCAAAGACGGATGAATGGTCAGCAAAATGTGGTCCACCCTACCAAGGAGTAGTACTCAGCCATAAGAAAGATCTGAAGCCCTGGAGGAGCTATGGAAGCAAGCTCAGTGAGAGGCAGGCAGGCAGGCACACAGGTTACTGCACCACTGTTACATTTGTATACAGTGGCTAGAAGAGGCAAACACAGACAGCAAGCAACTAGTGGTTGCAGGGAGCTGAGGAAATAGGGGAATGGGGCCAGACTGCCAAGGGTGATGGCATTTTCTTTCTTTCTCTCTCCTTCTACCCCTCAAGTCTGTCTTTCTCCTTCCTTCCCTCCCTTTCTCTCTTTCTGGTGTTGGGTATTGAACTCAGGGATGATTTACCACTAAGCTACATTCCAGCTCTTTTTGAGATAGAGTCTTGCTAAGTTGCTGAGGCTGTCCTTGAACTTATGATCCTCCTGCTCCAGCCATGCACAACTGCACCACCATGCCCAGCTGCTATGACATTTGGATTGATGAAGACATTTTAGAACTAGACAGAAGTGGAATCTGTACAATAATGTGAATGTACTCAGTGTCACTGAATAGTTCAATTTAAATTGCTCATTTTGTGTTATGTGAATTATACCTCAGCTTTTTAGAGACCCTCCTCCATCTTCAACTATGGAGGAAAACAGTGGGCAAATACTGATCTAAACCCCAGAAGCGTTAGCAGTGGCAGCCTTTTCTGAAGATCCTTCATGTACCCTGAAAACTGTATCTAGAACACAGCCTTTCCTGTTGAAAGCACTCCTAAATGCCTGTGGAGGTGACAGAGCACAGAGCAGATCCTGGCTTCCACCCAGAGGTTCTGACATGGCTGCCTTGGGTGATTCTGGGTGAGGAGCTCTTTTGCACCTGCTTTTGTGGACTGCACCAACACGCAGCTGTCCTGAGGTTCTAGTCTCCCTGTTTTTCTTCAGCTGGCCTCTCTCCATAAGCTCATGATGCCTCCATCTCTTGCACTTTTCTCTCACATTCTTTCTTCCCTGGACCTAGCCAAGCTATCAAAGTAAGGGCTGTGGGAATGAATCTTGGTTCAACACGAGCTGGGCTGCTCTTCAGATAAGGGACTCATATCAGAATCATCAATAACAGGATCAGGGAGTCAGGTGTGGTGGCACACGCCTGTAATCCCAGCAGTTTGGGATGCTGAAGCAGAAGGAATGCAAATTCAAGGCTAGCTTCAGCAATTTGTGGAGATCGTAAGCAACTTAACAAGATCCTGTCTCAAAATAAAAAACAAAATACACCCCCGGGTTCAATCTCCAGTACTAGGGGGAAAAAAAGTCAAGACCAGGGAATCGGCAGGTACAAAATGCAACTGATAATGTCACCATGTCACTAGTTCTACTAGCTAATCATTTATTTCCTTTTTTTTTTTATGGTGCCGGGGATTGAACCCAGGGCCTTTGTGCACTCGAGGCAAGCACTCTACCAACTGAGCTCAGCCCTTATTTCTATCTATCTATCTATCTATTTATTTATCTATTTATCTATCTATCTATTTATTTATTTATTTATATTTCTTGGGCCTGGGGATGTGGCTCAGCGGTAGAGCGCTTGCCTAGCATGTGCAAGACTGAGTTCGATCCTCAGGACCACATAAAAAGAAATAAAGATATTGTGTCCAACTACAACTAAAAAAAAATAATAATAATAATAATAATAAAAAAATATATTTCTTACATACATGACAACAGCGTAATGCATCACAATCATATTATCCATTCACAGCATAATTTTTCATAACTCTGTGTATACAAAGTATGTTCACGCCAAATTATGCCAATTATACATGAGCTCTCTTATTATTATTATTATTTTTGCATTACAAGCCTCTGGGTTGTGCAGTTCATACACATCATTCTTAAACAAAACTCTGGTCAGTGGACATGATTCAGATGCCAGCCCTGAGCTTTGCAAACCCATGGACCAGTGCTAGGGGAATACATGTCCAGAATTTAAGGAGACTGTGGGGAACTTTATTCCAGCAGATATTAGAGCAGGAAATGGGATGTGAGTACTTTCGAAAGGAAAACTAAGGAAATGAATATTTGCCAAAAGTTTTTAAAAAATTTTTATTTATTTATTTATTTTTTAGTTTCGGCGGACACAACATCTTTGTTTGTATGTGGTGCTGAGGATCGAACCCGGGCTGCACGCATGCCAGGTGAGCGCACTACCGCTTGAGCCACATCCCCAGCCCCTTGCCAAAAGTTTAAACAGAAGATACTGTAAGCTTAAGAGCCAGAGAAGAAATCTCAAACTGGAACCATTAATAGGTTTGACTACATACAAACATCAGTTTCTCAATATCTTCATAAATGCAATACATAAAGTGAAAGCACTGAGGGGAAAGCACCTGCAACACAGCTCTCATGCTCAATGCCATGGGTCTGGAGCCCCTCTCATCCTGCCTCCCTCTCTCCAGGACCATGAGAAGGCTCTATCCTGGCCATGTTGGCTGCCATGGGGGCCTGTGGGACTGGGGATGCCGCCCTTCACTGCCAGTTCTGCTGTTCTAGTTGAGGTTAGGCTTTATACTCATTTCTTGCTTTTGTTACATGGACGAGCATTGTTGAAGAGATGCAGAGACAGCAAGGGCCAGCTCCTGCTCCACTCTGCCCTCTTCTATCCCCCTTCCCCCAGGACCTTCCTCTCTGTTTTAAGAATCTTCGAAGTAGTACAAACCTCCCTCAGCTTCACCTGCAACCTGATTTCTGCCCCTTTGGAGTAAGCAGTCCCTGTGTACTGTCCCTACTCAGTACCACGGCCTCTCTGGAGCCTCAAGGGCCTCCAGTGGTACTAGATTGCACACAAGGTCCCTGGCCTCTGCTTTCATTTCCTGGCATGCACAACTCAGCATTGCCCAGCTGCTGAAGGAAAGATGGGAACTGTCTACGTCCTTTGGGCCCTAAGCTGCCACCTTGCACTCAGCAGCCCACCTCCCTGGCCAAACCTATTTATGTGGTTTTCTCAGGGCCCAGTTGGGTTCTTGGGGGCTAGTAGCACCTGCTTCATTTCCTCCTGAAGCATCTCCTTTGGGCACAAGCCAATGCCTGTCCCTTTATCCTTATCTCCAGCCAGCCCTCTCTTGAGATCCAGGTTTGCTGCTAGTAGGTATGGAACTGTACATATGCTGCCCCCAACCTGACACACAACCTTCCCTCCCCACCCCCAACTAGACATGCCCACTTCTCTGCCCCCTCCACCATTGGACATGACCTTCAGTCCTTGCCCCTAACTTAACAAACCTACCTCTCCTGCCCCACAACTTGACATGCCCACCTTCCCCTCCAAATGCTATGTGGGTTGAAAACGGGGGAGATATCTCAACAGCAGCTGTCCTCCCAAACAGGACAACAGGTTACCAAGCCCAGTGGCTACCACTCCCATTTCATGGCCAGTCCCTCTAGGACATTGGTGATGGATGCCAGGGTAACCTTTGCATCTGCCTTGCCTCTCTTAATCCACTGTTTAAAACCACCCTCAACACCGACGCCACGCTTCTCTCTGCACCAAAGCCAACACTGGCCAGGTGACCACACAAGCCTTGCTGTTTCTTTCACCATTGAGGCCGCCCTTTGGGAAGGCCACACTCTGCCTGCTGTGCTTTCACCTCTGATGGCTCCTATCTTAGTTCTACTGACACCTCCTCAAGCTGCTCAGGGCTGTTGACACAACCCACCTCCTCATAGTCGCCATGGTACGAAAACTCCATGGTAACTTTTGTCTGCTTACCCACAGGGGAGGTTGAGTCCTTGCATTTCAGTAACTTGCTCAGTTCCTGCCCCACTGAGGGCAGCCAGCAATTAACCCCTGAATGAACACAGGAGCAGGGCTGGTGGAGGCAGATCCCTTCTTCACACCACATCCTACTTCACCAAGTAAGATGCCTTAAAGGCTCATCTACAACAGTCTTTATTATCCCTTCGTGTGCCAATGAGAAAGTCATTGAGTGAGAAAAACATGCAAAACAGAGAAGGGGTAAAGGGCTCTCTGTAGAAACAATTATTTCTGGTGAAATAGAAAGGCAGGAAAAGGGACTGGGGATGTGGTTCAAGCGGTAGCGCGCTCGCCTGGCATGTGTGTGGCCCGGGTTTGATCCTCAGTACCACATACAAAAAAAAAAAAAAAAACAAAGATGTTGTATCCGCCGAAAACTAAAAAACAAATATCAAAAAAAAAAAAAAAAAAAAAAAAAAAAAAAAAAAAAAAAAAAAAAAAAAAAAAAAAAAGGCAGGAAAAGATTGAAAGTGGGCAGGCAGGTGTGCAGTAAGAAATGGAGGGCATGGGAGGATGGGACCCTGCAGGAGAGGTCCCAGTGGACACTGAGACCCATGAGGCATGGTGGGGTCACCAGCAGGGATATGAGCCTCACCTTGTTGAGGAGGATACTGATCTTGTTCCCGCTGGCGTTGCACCTGAGAGAAGCGATGGCCCCCACCCCAGGGATCACTTCGGCCAGGTTTTTGCAGCTGCAGTAGGCCTTTGCCTCTCTGTAGGAAAAAAGGGAGAATCTAGTGCAAGTCAGAGATCCCTGTCATGGGTAGGTCATAGAAACTCACTGCTTCTCACCCTGCTACCACATGTGCACATGGCACAAGTCAAGCTCAGAATGCAGTGAGCTTTTAAACCTCATCTATTGGTTATTTCTTTTTTTTTGAAATAGGGTCTCATTATGTTGCCCAGGCTGGCCTCAAACTTGAGCTCCCCCTAACCCAGCATCTCAAGAAACGGGGATTACTGGTATGTGCCAATGGGCCCAACTATAACTGCATACACTGTTACAATCAAATACAAATCCATGTTCTTGGTGCCCCTCCTCTGCACCTCATGTTTTCCCTTCACTCAGGCCTTGGGGACCTCCTGTGGCACAATGGGCCAATTATCCTATAGCTATCTGGGACCAGCTCCCTGCTAGAGGCCTTCAGCTATATCTAGCTTGCTGCCAATATCATAGTACTATGTATACACATAGCTTTTGCCTTTTTCCACTTTATTCACCTTTCCTTGTTTCCCCTAATGTTTTTTTTTTGTCCAGGAGTCCATTCTGAACCCATCTGATACATCATTTGTCTCCTCAGGCTCTTCTTGGCTGGGTTGTGATGAGCCTGATAGCTATGCACAGTTCCACGCAGGTGTGGGGTAGGATGCTCCTCTACTGGGATCTCTCTATTGGAGTGGTGTTGTGAGCTTTTGGAGGAAAACCAGAGGTGAGGTGCCTGTGCTCCTTGCACCACATCCAGGCCATCTCTTGGTATGGACCTTGGATGTCGGGTTTCTCTACTGTGAAGTGCCTCCCCTTCTACGCTGTGCTCTCTGGACAGAACTCAGTGCAGCCCAGTCTGAAGGAGTGATGAGTGGCTCCATCAATTATGTGTCTTCTCCCCATTGATGACTGACTTGGTCATTCACATCAGTATGAACTTTATAATTTTGTTGCTCATATTGTTTCAACTTTGGGCTGGGGTTGTGGCTCAGTGGTAGAGTGCTTGCCTAGCGTAGCATGTGAGAGGTCCTGGGTGCAATAAATAAATAAATAAAAGTATTGTGTCCGAATAAAAAATAAATATTTAAAAAAATTGTTTCAACTTTGCCTATTGGGCCCTTTCAGTTGGTTCCTGTCTCTGACCTACCCCTGTCATTGTGAGATCTTCTTTATTTATTTTGTTTCTAGCAGTTCCTTACTTTCTGGTATAAGATGGTACAATTCATCTTATTTTTTTGCCCCAGACCTAGAATCAGCTATTTCTCCAGAGCCTTGGTTCCTTTTATTGTAGAAGGTGTTAGAAATCAAGATCTGGGTAGTAGTTATGCTTGTTGCTACTGGGGTGTTGCTGCTTCTAGGCCCAGTCAGCTGACAGCACAGAAACATGTGTACACCAATGAGTGCAGAGACATATCTGCGACTGTCAGCTTAAGTGGTACTTACATCCATGTTAGGTAAACCATGGGCTTATCCTGACATCTTCAGGCCTAAACCACCATCCCATGGATCATTCTGGCTCCTGCCCACTTTCAGTGGACAGAACCTCGGTTCTTATCATCCATTATCCACTTATTTCACATTAGGTTAAGTTCCATTTATGTGAGCAACAGCAGCAGACTTCTGGGTCTGTCGAGGGAGAGACCTCTCAACCAGAGAGCAGTGTTCTGCATGTTCCTCCTGTCCTTGAATTAAGATCTTTGTCCACATCCAGGCTCACTGGGACAGCACCTTTTCCCACTCCCTTCACTGAGGTCGTTTCAAACATCTGAATACACCTGGACTGAGCAGAAAGCACTTTATTCTGTTCTGGGATCACCCAATGTTTCAATGATTTTTATTTTTTCCCTGTGCTAAGGTTCACACTTGGGCATGAAGTCCTACAGTTCTGACAAATGAAGTATCATGTACCTGTCACACAGGAATACTTCACACCAGAACATGTCCATACTTCACCTTACTATGTGAAGACTAAGAATTCAGGCCAGACACATGGCATATCAAAAAGTGAGGTGGAGCTGAGTGTGGTAGCACACACCTGTATCTCTGTGGCTCAGGAGACCAAGGCAGGAGGATCACAATTTCAAATCCAGTCTCAGCAACTTAGTGAGACTCTGTCTCAAAATAAATAAAAAGAGCTGGGGATGTGGTTCAGTGGCAAAGCACCCCCTAGGCTCAGTTCCTGGTACCAAAAAATCATATAAAAAAAAGTGAGATGAAGGCCTGGGGGTATAGCTCAGCAGTAGAGGTAGAGTGCTTGCCCAATACATGCAACTGAGTTCAATCCCTGACAACACACACACATACAGTGGTATGTTAATGTTGAAATAAGAACTTGAGATTTCTGGCATCTATTCTATTTTCTACTTACCATATTGTCTCTTAACTCAAAAAATGTAACACTTTGTTTCAGGAAAAAAACTGTACCTTCGGGAAAGATCAAAGCTTTTAAAGTGAGCGGAGTCTGTCCCTACAACCAGGAAATTCCCACAGATGTCCAGGAGGCACGGGTTTCCCTCTGTTTCAGAGAACAGCAGGAGTTGTTTGACAGTCCCCTAAGGAAAAGAGGAGGAGCTGAGGCAGTGGCTCAGTCATAGCATTTCCTCTGTCACTCAATATTACCCACAGCAATTCATGTGCCCAGCACTATGCTCAATTGAGTTTTACAGGGGAAAGATGGGGCCCTTCCAAGAAAGCCCTGGTGCCTACTGCTATAGGCGAGACAGAGAGCAGTCAGGCTGACAGGAGGAATTTCGGGTAAGAAGCACCTGAGGGCAAGTGCAGGATGCAGAAAGTACGCAGGGGAGGGTGGATTCTATCTATGTGGGTTGATCTGCGAGCCTTGTCTGTAGAAAGTGCTGTGTTAAAGCTCCAGTGGTACTTGTTACACTGTTGGTGTCATGTGCATGATTCCCTTGGGTGGGGAGGCTGGGAGAGGAAGGAGCTCTACCAGGATGCTAGTCATATCTTGGGTACATTCCATTTGTGGAAATTACTGAGCTGAGTACAAAGCTTGACGCATCTATGTCTTCTATGTGTATCTCATAATTCAATCAAATGTTTAAGAGATACAAGTCTTGTCTGGGGTGATGTTTTAAAGGAGGCAAAGACAGAAAGGAAGGGGCTAGCTATTTGGAGACCCCAGGGTGGCATTCCAGGAAAGATGATACACACTGAAGTAGAGCATGGAGTTGGTATCTCAGACCCATACAGTAGGCAGGAGAGAGCAATGGTGGGAGCGGCCTGCTTGGAGGGTGAACAGTAGCTATGTGGGCAGCATTACTGCAGGTCCAGTGAAGTCAGATTTTACTCTAAGTGAAGCAAAAGACAATGCAGGGTTTGGGGCTGGGAAATGATTTCACATCATCTATATTTTTAGAAAGTCACTTTCACCATCCCTGAATTTTGGAGAACATGCCACAATCCTGCCTGAGCAGGCCTGGTGTTCTGTGGAGTGCCTTTTATATAGACAGACCCTGGTCCTCTGAATCTCACTCCCACCATGGTAGTCCTTGTTTCTTCTGGCTTTGGCTTTCTTATCACCATCTTGTTTACTTTTTGACCACCAACTAAAAATGACAACTCCATTAAAGAGGCCTGCATGAGCAGAAGTTGAGGTGTGAGGTCACAGATGTGGCAGCCCTAAGTAATCACTCAGTTCCAAGAAAGAGTTCAAAGCTGGATAAAAACCATATGGCTAAACCAGGGCTGTGGCCAAGGCTCTCCACAATCACAGAATGTTGCTACATATAGTGGATTTAACTATGGCATCCCCAAAAGGTATGACTGCTCAAGCCAGTGGATATGATCGCTTTATTTATTTATTCATCCACTTATTTTTTTTTTATTGTTGTCAGACATAATACATTTATTTATTTATTTTTATGTGGTACTGAGGATCGAACCCAGGGCCTCACACATGCTAGGCAAGTGCTCTACTGTTGAGCCACAACCCCAGCCCCTGGATATGATCTTATTTGGGAAAAGGGTCTTTGCAGATGTGATTAAGCCCAGGATTCTGAAATGAGATCAGTCTAGCTTAGGGTGGGCCATAAACCCAGTGACAAGTTTTCTGGGGGTTCTCAGGGACTGAACTCAGGCCCTCCTGCAGGCCAAGTGCATGCTCTACCACTGAGCTACATCCCCAGGGAGACTTTTATAAGACTCAGAAGAGTAGACACAGATGCAAGGGAGCAGGCATATAAAGACAAGACAGTGAGGAATTCCACAACTCAAGGAACAGCAAAGATCACTGGTACTACCAGAAGCAGGAAGAGACCTAACCCCCCTCCCACAAAGGAACCTGCCCTGCTGACACTTGAATTTCAGACTTCTGGCTTCCAGAGCTGTGAGAGAATATATTTCTGTTGTTTTAAGCTACCCAGTTGTGGTAATTTGTTATAGCGACTGCAGGAAGCTAACAGCATGTCAGTCCCAGGTTCCAACAAACGTCTGGGATGTGGACAGGGCATGGGTATCTGGCTTCACACTGACAAAGAGGAAAAAGATGGTGTGCTGGAGGCCTGTGACTCTGCAGACAGACTTCACTCCCACATGGCCTACCCTAAGACACAGCAGATATCATATCCTGAACTGAATGCAACTCAGCCTCTGGGAAGCTCGCTAAGCCCAAGAAGTGTTTCCCCCTACTTCCTACCCATGGCTTTCTAGGTTCAACAAAGTCTTGCCCTGTCCTCCGATTTCAGAGGTCACAGCAATCATAGGTGCAGCAGCTGTTTCAGGACCCATTTCTTCTCCACCCAGTAGGGAGACATGAACAAAGCCAGGTGAGGTCAACACCAGGCTTGGGCTCCCGAGACAGTGTCTGTCTTCACAACCACAGTCCACTTGTTAAGTAGCAGCTACCTACCTGCCAGGTCCGAACCTGAACTCGATTTGGCTCCACTGTATAAACGCTGTCCTCATACATGGCGACCACTGGGGACTCACACAGGAAGGCCCCTGAAATCAAGGATGAGTATCAGAACAACAGCAGCCCACTGACCCAGACTTCCACAGAGCTGAAAAAGCATCTCACAAAGAGCCCCTAAGCGTCTCCGCCCTTATAGCCGATTCATGAGCAACCCATTATCTGATCTTGCACATGAGCCAAAAGAAGCCAAAATGAAAAAGGAATAAAAAATGGAAACAAAAATGAGAAAAAAATTAAAATAAAAATTAAAAGAAAGTCATCAAAATAAATAAACAAAATATAAAAAGGGAAAAAAGAATTTAAAAAAATGGGAGCTGAGGGGGCTAGAGTTGTGTGGCTCAGTAGTAGAGCAGTCACCTAGCATGTGTGGGGCCCTGGTTTCGATCCTCAGCACCACAAAAAAAAAAATAAATAAAATAAAGGTCTTGTGTCCAACTACAACAACAACAAGGGAGCCAAGGCTCTGAGCATAGAGACTGACAGCTCCCGAGGAACCGGGCCTGCCATGGGGACTCACAGCTGGACATTCTCCTAGCAGCACAGCTCAATGGTCATGCAGGTAGAACTCTGGAAGCCACATATTCTAGTCTGTTGCTAATAACAAGCTACTTGTTTGGTCAGGGAGACAATGACACCTCAAAACTAGAAAGACCTCAGTATCTGCTGTGTGGGGTATAATGGGGGTGAGGAGCTCATCCTCATTTTTTGGGAGTCCGCAGAGAAAAGGGGAGAAGGCCAGTGAATTATCTATGTAATAACGTGAAAAATGCCAGAGAAATTTAGGCAACAAAGTGTTGGGGGAGACAAAGAATAGTGTGAACTTGGTTTGGCTCCACTATATAAACGCTGTCCTCATACATGGAGGACTCACACAGGAAGGCCCCTGAAATCAAGGAAACACATGAGGGAGCAGGGAACATTCCCAGAGAAGCAGGAGATAACTACCCCTAGGACAGCATAATGACAATTCTCCTGAGTTAAGAGAGCCCAGAGGTCAGCAGGATGAAGGGAAGCATGGTGTAGAAGGATGGCAAACTGAGAGAGCACATCCTGATGACCTGCAGCACTGGCTTCGGAAACACAGGCACAGGTTTAAGAGCTGAAATGGGTTTTCGTCAACCACCATGTCAGCCCTGACCACTCCCCTCTCTTTAGGTGGTGGTCCCCTCTGTGGGAGTGTGAGGATTCCCACCTGCATTCCGTAACACGGCTCCAGAAGGCTCAAATATCACCACCTGCTTTCCATTCCAGACAGCCACAGCATCCTAAAGAGAATGTGGGTATCCAAAAACAAAGGTCAGGGGACGGAGGTGTAGATGCTGCTGACACTTCCCCAAGCCTGGCCTCTTCCTCCTCCTCCTCTATCGCTGAGGGTTGCCTCCTCTACCATCAGTTCACCGAATCCTCCACATACATGGCTTAGAACTGACTTTCATGTTATGGAAAATACTTGAGTTTTTACTTTTTTCTTAAATGATGAACATGAAGATTCAGGAAATAAGATAATCCAGGATGGAATTGGGGATGGTCCAAGCTGCCATCCAGGATCCTCGATATCTTGATTACCCCAACAACTCAGCACATTTTTCGTCTACACTGAAGACCCCTCATGACAGACACTGTGGGTCAATCTCAGCAGTCACCTTGGTGGCGAACACTCCACTGATGTGCATGTCTGTGCGCAGGCTGTGTGTTGCCCCAGTGGACAGGAAAGACACATTGACTGAGGTTGGAGAGACTTGAATGGCAGCCACTTGCTGATGGAAGTGCGATGACATGGCCTGCTCACTGAGGATTGCCACAGAGCTGACATTGTTCACTGCCAGCAGGTTCTTCCTGGAGCCCCACTTCAGTCCCGTGTTAGAATAAAAAGAACAGATGTGTGAATAAAGCAGAGATACACCAGAGGAACATATAAACATTCCATACAAGGATCTGCAAACCATTTTCCAAGAACCTTTTCTTATTCTTTAAAAAATAACTTAAGGGGCTGGGGTTGTAGCTTAGTGGTATAACGCTCGTCTAGCACATGCAAAGCCCTGGGTTTGATCCTCAGCACCACATAAAGGTATTGTGTCCAACTACAACTAAAAAATAAATATTAAAAAAAAAAAAACTTAAAATTTTTTCACAAGGATTAAATATGTATTCTGTAGAGAAATTTCAAAGTACTGATTCGCTGAGTAGTGAGTGAGACAGCAGGTAGACATCTGAGTGGCTCTTCTAGCTTGTGTCTCCACTTCTGTGTAGCAGGGCATCTTTAGAAATTTGCTTTTCTGATTATGACATAGGGATATTTATTTTCTATGAATTGATAAGAATTTCACCTTTCTTCTGGTGATGTGAAATGTCAGTTTCCTAACTTCATATTAAGCTTTCAAATCTATCTAAAATGTTCAGTTTTCAACAAAAAATTAAGAACCACTGAAGAAAAGAATATAACTCATATATAAGGAAAAAAAGAACTGCGAGTGGTTCAGATGTTGGGCTTGGGAAGATTGTATAGTAGTTGCCACAATACATGTGCTGCCATGAGTCATGCCTGTGAAGAACAGGAAGGTGCAAGGGTCACGTCTTAGCAAACAGAGAACATCAAATGAACAATGGTGATTTTAAAAAAGAAACAAATGCCCATAAGAAATGAAAGCCATGCAGTCATTCTCAGCAGCATTACTTACAGCAGCCCCCAGTGCCCACAAACTGATGAAAAGCTAAGGTGGCCCATCCACACAGCACAATACTACTCGGCACTAAAGGGAGGGAGTACTGACGCCTGCTTCAGTGCAGATAAATCTGGAAAGCCTGGTGCTCAGTGAGCAAAACCAGTCACAAGAGACCTCATGTTATATGATTCTACTTTGAAAAACTGTCCCAAAGAGGAAAACCCAGAGACAGAAAGTGGATCACTTGTCAGGTGTGGTGGCCATGGCTATAATTCCAGCTACTCAGGAGGCCAAGGCAGGAGGATCACAAACTTCAAAGCCAGCCTGGGCAACTTAGTGGGACCTTATCTCAAAATAAATAGTGCTGAGACCCTGGATTTAATCTCCAGCAGCAGCAGCAACACCACAAAAAAAAAAAAAAAAAAAAAAAAGAGTCTATTACTAGGGCTGGAAGAAGGGGAAAAAAGCAGTGTACATGAATTTCTTTTTAGGGTGATAAAATGTTTTAAGATTCATTGTGATGGCTGCAGAACTCTGTGAATATACTAAAAATAATTTGATTATGCAAATTATGTTTCAGTAAAACTCTTTTTAACATATAGGTATATATGTACGTAAAGACAGAATAGGTGGATAGGTATAAACATAGGTCCACAATCTCTTATCTGCAATTCTGAAATCCAAAAGCTCTTTAAATTCTTTTTGTTATTGCTATTTTTATGTAGTTTTAACTCATGTAACTGATGAAACTAGATTCAAAGCTGATTGCTCCCTCCATTTCTGTGCAGCAGAGAATGAGTGCATAAAATCCTCCTGCAGAGCTTACCTTTATCTGTGTGATGCTTCCCTCAAGCTCAGTAGGGGTTTGAAGGGTCCACATGTCCTTGCCCTCTACCCCTCGGCTGCTCCAGGAGCCTGGTACTTTTCTCCACATGGCTACTCGCCCTTTATCAGTACCAGCTGCCAGAAGACCTACAAGTGAGAATAAGGTGAATGCTAACTGAGAAGCATTCCAGATTCCAACCCTCTTCTCTGAGGCATCAGCCTCTCCCTGGGTCCAGTGGTTCCCAGATTCTTTGCTCCAACACTGGTGAGCACCAGAAGGCATGGACCAAACATCACCGTAGCTCACCTCCCATCCCTTCTGTGTGTGTGTGTGGGCACACACAGTCCTGTCTCATGGAGCTCAGGAGGGAACACGTGCATGCAGTCAGTTTGTCACTTGCTGATCCTTTACTAATGATATTTAGGACTGGTTTACTATTCTGTGAATAGCCCCCTGAATTTCACCATAATTAGCTTGCAGACTGAGCATCATGTTGGGAGCCTCACCTTTGGCTTTACAGTAACACACACAATTTATATTCTCTCCTTTTTCAAAGCCAAACTTCTCCTCTGGACACAGTATGTAATTCTCTCCTCGTTCCAAGTCCCAGAATCTACAATAGAAATAAGATAGCCCATAGAGGGGCCTTGTTAGTAGCTTCTGCCTCTGCTCTCAGGGCTGCTGAACCTGTGCAGAACACTTAAGTTCAGGAAAGAGATGCACTCTTCAGACTCTGGTATAGACAGCTAATGTTACTTTTAGGACTATCTTACACTCTGTTTATAATTAAAGAGAGCAATTTGTTAGTGTATGACATTAGCTCAAAAAGAATACAGAACCCAAACTACATGTGGCAATATAAGAAAGGCTCTGAACATCATGTTGGTTAAAATGGCAAGACAAAGGAGACCAAAAATGCATAATTCCATTTATGCCAAGCTAAATAAGACAGGGCCGAGGCAGGAGGACTGCTTGAACCCAGGAGTTGAAGATTAGCCTGGGCCACACAATGAGATCCTGACTCAATAAAACAAAATAATTAGTGATGCCCTGAGCAACTTAGTGAGACCTTTTCTCAAAATAAAAAAATAAAAAAGGGCTAGGGATGTGGCTCAGTGGTTAAGCACCCCTGGTTCAAACAAACAACAAAACCAAACATCTGAGCAGGGGCAGACATTGGGGCTGTACTACCTACTAGGGTAGAAACTGCAGGGAGAACAGTGATGGCTGGTGGGGACTTCTGGGGCCACTATAACATGTATATTTTCTTTCTTTCTTTTTTTTGGTACTAGGAATTGAACCCAGGGGTGCTTAACCATTGAGCAACATCCCTAGCCCTTTTTATATATCTTATTTAGAAACAGGGTCTCACTACATTGCAAGTGCCTCGCTGTTGCAGAAGCTGGATTTGAATTTGCAATCTTCCTATCTCATCCTCCCGAGTTGCTGGGATTATAGGCATGCATGATTGTGCCCAGATAAATTTTCTTTATGTATTCTTCTCTCCAAAAAGTCTACTTAAAAGTCTGTTCCTGACAGGATTTTCCAGAAGTGCGCACAGAAAAGACAAGCTCTCACCTGAGAACTGCTTCCCCTGTGGCTATCACGAGAAGACTGCCCTCAATCAAAGCGATGTCTGCCTGGCGACCCCTTTTCCCACTTAGCTTCACCTGTACAAGAAAAAAAGCAACCAGAGAAAAGCACACGGCTCCTGCTGAGACCCTGTTAGGTTAGAATCTGGTCTTCAGTGATTTCATGGAGACTCACTCAGTGGATGAAACACAGGGCAAATGATGACAACTGAGAGGTATCTTTGGTTTTTAGTATGGAGAGGCTAAAGCAAACAATGACTCATCTGTGAAATGATGGCCACCTAATGCATGCTGCATGGCAGGAATCTCTTACCGAGTGATTATCAAGTTGAGCTGGGTGTTCCCTGCTCAGTCTCAACCACACCTTCCTGGCTAGTCTTACTATCCCCATTTTGCAGAGACAAACTTGTTCAGGGCCTGCCAGCCAGTTCAGTAGCTGAGCAGGGTACCTGAAGCCAGGTGCTAAGACTGAATTCTCTCTCCCTAAAGTTCACATGCTGGAGCCCTAAACACCAATGTGACTCTATCTGCAGACAGAGCCTTTAGGAAGCATTAATGTTGGACACCTTAGGGTGGGTGGGGCAATCGGGGCCTCATCTAATAGGACTGTGGTGCTCACCCTAACCTCCAACATGCTCTCTACCCTGCTCTGCCCTGCCTCCATGTGAGGGTCAAGTAAGAGAGGGCTGTCTGCAAGCCAGGACATGAGTTGACTATATCCTTGATTTGGGACTTCCAACCCAGAACTGGCCTAGACTACAAATGAGAAATATCTGACATTAAGCCATAAAATTTGTGGTTGGATGTTAGGGTGGCCCTGGCTGACTAAGACCCCACATCCACATGGCTTAGTAACCACATTCTCAGCTGCTGTTACAGCATGACCAAACTCAGATTGACTTACAAAATAATTAACTCTGTAATCTACAGGAATATGTTTAGAGTTCAGTGTTATCCAAGGAGGATGAGTTTCTACAGTCTAAGTCAACAAACTACCAGGAGGATGGTAGGCAACAGCACCCTCAGTGAGCTTCACTTGGTGGTTGAGCAACCTTATACAGAAGCACATGAAAGCTGCTACCTTTGCCTGCAGGGATGACTCCAGAGCTAGCATCCCATGCTCTGTCCTTCATGGATACAATGGTGTCTTTCAGGAACCACATAAAAATACTCCTCCCCAAGTAACACATACACATTGGGTAAGCCAACGCCTGGGCAAACCACAGATGTGAAAGACTATGGTATAGAGCACAGTCCACATATACCAGGTGATAACCATCTGGTCTTTCAGACATTGAGCAAGTCTCCTCAAAGCTCTTTTCCTGAACATGGATGGAAAATGAGGGCAATATCCCATGTCCCACCTAACTGTTGTAGAAGTTGAATGAGGTGCTACAAGGTGAGTGGTATTATTCTTGCTATACCTGAAGTCCATGGGCTTTGAGTTAACCACTGCAGAGGGGCAGCCTGGCCTGGCACAGTGGCCACACTGTAATCCCAGTGGCTCAGGAGGCTGAGGCAGAAGGATTGTAAGTTCAAAGGCAGCCTCAGCAACTTAGCAAGGTCCTAAGCAACTCAGAGAGACCCTGTCTCTATATAAAGTATATAATAGAGCAGGGGACATGGCTCAGTGGTTAAGTGCCCCTGGGTTCAATCCCTGGTACCAGGGGAACAACAAAAAAAGAAGGGCATAGCCTGGGCTCCCGAAACCGTCCCCACATATGCCCAGAAGTATCAGAAAACCTTCCATTTCCCTCACCAAAGTGCAAACTGTCCTATGATGATAAAAAGTGACATGAAATAGTTTAGCTGCCCCGGAACCAAGATGATAGCTGTTACAATCTTGCTAACCAAGAAAGAAAGGGCAGAGTAGGCAGGAGAATCCAGCCCCCAGCTCCTCAACATGGCAGGCAGTCAGGTGCCCCTGGACCCGCTCTCCCACCTACCTTCATCACCTCATCAGCTTCGCCCTCAGGTGTCACCATAAACAGGAACAACAGAAGGTTCTCTGTGACCACTGCCAGTGCCTCCCTCTTCTCAATGTAGAACAGCATCTGGATGGAGCTGTCTGTGGATGCCACCTGGGAGGTCTTGCCTTTCTCATCCACGTAGTGAACTGTCCCTAGGGACAGAGGTGAGTCACTATGCTGGGACTTCTGATGAGTCTGTTTCCACGACACTCATGAGCAGCCATTTCTATCTACTTAAGAATATTTCAAAATAAAACAACTTCAATATAAGAATTTAAAATTAAGCATTTGTACATAATCTTGTGGCTACCATCTCAGAAAGTCTCTGTACTACTGGTTCAGGCCTATCTAGATCAGGATTGTCCTTGGTCCTCTGCTGAATCAGGTCTGCTTGAGCTGGACTGTCAATCTTCTTCACCACTCTCTTGGGGTATTTTTAGCATCTGCATTGCTGATCCCTCTGATTCTGCAGGCTCCTAAATCTTTTATCATCTTGTTCACTATCTTGAGATGCACCTGCATCCTCTAAACCAAGGCCCTAAATGACGACCCTTCTCCCTGTCCTTCCAGGCCTGCACTGCTGATGTGCTGTCTGCTGTCTTACCGGGCGCTGGTCTCATCCTCCTCAATTCTTTCTGTCAGCTAAACCACAGTGCCCCCTTTTCCCCACCTGGACTTCCCCTGCTTTGGCCCTGCCATGGCTTCTGCACCAACACTGGCCAGCTTATCCATGTGCCTCTTCTCCGGTTCCCTCTTGGGTATCTGAGCTTGGTGGGCGAGGTCCCTTGAGAGCACACAGGGCTCTCTGGCTCAGTTTTGCTGAGAGCATTCTTATCCTCCTGGTCTCTTACCTCACTCCAAATAGATGACTTGGGTTCTCACTACACTAAAGAGTTCAAGGTCATCTAGGCTAATGTAACAATGACTAGTATTGAGAGACACGTGTATGGTAGGTTTGATGTTATGCACTTTTACAGGTAATCATGAGATAAAAATTAATGTAATCACTATCTGCCATTCAGGGAAGTAGAGGTCCATGGAATAACACAGCTCCTGGTGGACAGGTGGGAATCTGCATCCCTCCAGAGATAGGCTCCTTCTGAGCTTGGCAGGCTTTCACTTCCAAGTGACCAGCATATATTTCCCTTGATGTGCCTTGTCCCACTCCACTTCTAGACTCTTCTTCCTGAGGGACCCTTACCCTCATGCACCCCCTCAGGTATCCCCTCCCTGCCATCTCACTGTGCTGTGCCCACTCAGATGTCCTTTCTAAGACTTCTTTGATTTCCCCTCACCATCAGCTCCATCTCTTTACCTTCTAAGTTTACAAACCCCACGGTCCTGTCCACAGCCACCTGCCCTCTTATTCACACCATGATCAGGCTATTTGGTGAAATTAATTAACATATTCCCTCCCCCTGAAGTCAGTCAACCTGTGTATCTCTCATCTCCTGGGCCTCTTCCAACAACAGAAACAGTACAGCCAGGTGTGATTCTCAGACTCTTTCCCCTTTAGGCTTCAGTCTTGGCTGAGATGGCTATATCCTTGCTCACACTGAGGAGGAGTTGTATTGGAATCAATAGATGGTGCTTAACACTGACCACCCATGAGGGCTGGCTGTGGCTGCCAGACGGAAGCAAAGCCCAGCTCTGTTCTGCTCAGGCCTCACCCTAGCTCCTAGCAAGGTGCTTGGTAACTATGTAGACTGAATAACAGACAGCATTTAAAAACCACAATAGTATTTTCAAAACCAATGCCTCTGGTGCTGTGCAGAAACTGTTGATTAAAAGTTTATGAAAACCCCTCAACACAAATTAAGCTTGTCTCATCTCTGCCAGAACAGAGCACAATGTTCTCAGAGAATCAACTGGTGCAATGCAGCGCCCCAAGACAGGTGTGCCCAGCTTTCATTATTTCACCCCAAAGTACTACCATCAGCTTACAATCCTTGCCAGACACTCCTAAAACATTGAATCCTAGAATTACAATTGCAGTTTCTCACCATCCATCAGACTGACAAAGAATGACAGGCCCTCTTGAGACCCCATCTTCAGGAAACTTCCAAAGCCGCTTTTTCTCCAGTTAAACATGTCCAAGGCTTTCTCATCGCCACTCACTGCTGCCTTTGCCAACTGAACCAGGTCCCTAAAGGCAGACATAACAGGGCGATTAGGAATCCTGCAGTAACAGGCACTCAGGGTCAGGAGCCACACACTCACCCAGGAGGAAGACAAGGTCTAGTAGGAGCCTCATAACTTACTCGCCGGGTGGGGGGAGCCGGAAAATGCAATGAGTGAGGTGCTTTCCATATTCGTGCTTCAGCAAGGGCGTGCCTTGTACTCGACCCCTTTGATCCAACCTCCAGAGGAGCAGGACACCAAGCTGCAAAAGGCCAACAGCACGTGCACGAAACTGTCTTGAACAGTGACCGGCGGAAGGCAAATGGCAGAGCAGAACTCAGGCAAGTTCCTTACTCAAAGAAATTACAAAACCACTGTATAGGCTCCATGAAAATTTCAAACTATTAAAGTGTTTAAAGAAGCAGAAACTTTTCTCTGCATCTTCTCCTGACTCACTCTAGAGCTACCAACTGAAATATGTTCAGTTTTTACAACTAACAATTTTGGAGTATATTGAGTTATTCCAAGACCACACAGATAATGTAAGACCACACATATGACATCCAGACACCCCTATATTAGTACAGCACATTTCATAGAATTAATGAATAAATACCATTATGTTGCTATTAACTAACACCCATACTTTAGATCTCCGCAGCTTTCCCTATTGCTTTTTTTTTAAAGCTCACCTAGGATCCCATAATGTTTGGTCCTCACACCTCCTCTTGGAGTGAGTTTCTCAGACATTCCTTGCTGGTTGATGATCCTGTCATTCAGGTATGGCATAGGATGCCCCTCTGCTGGGATTCGTCTTAGGTTTCCCTATGACTAGATGGGGGCTGTGGGTTTTGGGGGAGTGCCCTCATATCACACACAGTCAACAGGGCTCATAACCATGGGAGCTAACCTCAGCAGCCTGGGGGAGGTAGTATGTCCACCTCATGCAGCCCTCACTTAAGGGGTGGAGAGCCATGTTTTGCCTTCTTAAGGCAGAGTGTCTCCACAAATTATTTGGGATTCTTCAACATGGGGTTTGTTTCTGCTCTACCATTTAATCACAAATCTACATCAGCATGGACTCAAGGATATTTTCCTACTTTGGATTGCTTATTTTTTGCTCAAACTGGTCTAGATTTAACCACTAGGAGCTTTTCCAGTTGGGTCCTGTGTACCTTTGACAGGTCCGTATCATGGAGTGGTTAGAAGTACTTCTTGACTTTTTGGCACTCCAAGATTCTCTGGGTTCATTTTCCTGTTCCAGCCCTAGAATTAGTCATTTCTCCAAAAAGCCCTCACTCCTTTTATTGAGAATGGCATTAGAAACCAAGATCTGGGGAGGTATGATGTATGTTCAATTTTGAAATTATCAATTATCAGATCAATGGCACAGGCAGGTGCTAGACAAGTCTAAGTGTGCAAGGAGACAACAATCAGAATTTGTCCAGGTGGATGTGGTACCTGGAGGGTTCAAGCCAAGTTCTGCCAAATGGAGGTACTCCATTTGCACTTTCACTTCAATACCCAGCACCTCGCCCAAGGGGTTTCCCAGCTCAAGGCAAGTAGATATTTTAACAGGTGTCAACTCTTCTCCCCACTCTCCTTTCAATCAGTACCAACTCCAACATCCCCAAATGCTGGCTGACATCACCTTTATTGTAGAAAGAACAGGATTTTCAAATCAAGTCAGCTTTAAAAGCAGCTTAAGCTCTGCAAGATCTAAAACAGTGTGTAACATGAGTATACAAATAATATGAACAGTACCTATTATCAAAGTGATTATTCTTGACTGATAGTTTTATGAAAAAGAAAAAGACTACTGGTTTCATCTATAATTTTTTAAAATTGTAGATAAACATAATACATTTATTTATTTATATGTGGTGCTTAGGATCGAACTGAGTGCCTTGCACATGCTAAGCAAGTGCTCTACTACTGAGCCACAGCCACAGCCCTTGTTAATAATTCTTAAAAAAAAAAAAAAAAAAAAAAGTTATGGGCTGGGATTGTGGCTCAGTGGTAGAGCGTTCGCCTAGCACAGGCAGGACCCAGATTCGATCCTGAGCACCACATAAAAATAAAGGCATTGTGTTGTGTCCATCTACACCTAAAAAATAAATATTAAAAAACAAAACAAACAAAAAGAGTCAAAAGAATAATGCTTGCACAGCGAGGAAACAATGCAGGAAAGGAGAGAAACAAAAATGCTCCTTCTCCTGCACCAAGCCCCCTCCACAGAGCAGAGCACTAAGGTGCTTGACGCATCCCATGTAGCATCTTCCAAGATGCTCATCTGCTCTGTTCTTCATGTAATCTTCCCATAACTGACTTTACAGATCTTTCTCTCATGCTCTATTTTTGTGGTCAAAGGGACTGAACTCAGAGTCTTGTGCATGCTGGGCAATTCCTCTACCACTGAGTTACACTCCTGGCTCTTTTAAATTTTATGACAGGTGTCGCAAAGTTGTCCGGGCTGACCTCAAATTTGTGATCCTCTTGCCTCAGTCTCCTGAGTAGCAGGGATTCAGGCATGTGGCACTGCACCTGGCTAGAGACTTTTCTTTATAGTGTAATAATCTCCTGGCTGACAGTGTGACCAGGTTCCTAAACATGATTAGAATCACAGCATTTTGGATTTCCAGGCTGCAGCTTTGGGGAAAAAAAAAATTGTTGCATGCCAACACCTGGAGCACCTGTATCTAAGCTATGTGAGCAGGACTAGGGACTCCTGGGTAACTGAGGAGCATGTCCTTGGAAATAAGGGACTCCTGAGTATCATAAAAGTGACAGTATCTGGGACATTCACACCATCTCTATGAATACAATTTTCTGAAGTTCATTTAAAACATTACAGACATACCTTTGCCATAGAACGAGATCTAAAGAATGAAAATTTCAAGCCTTGCTTCAAATATAAAATAAAACTTCCAATTACATCCAACAATATCATTTGAATTTAGGGAATTATACTTCAAATAATTTGGTCTTTTACTATCCTTCATCACGTCTGTAAGAGTATAGTGGGGGATGTAGACGACTATGCACTTACCCTGTCCCCAGAAACAAGGCAGCTCCCACTGGTGCTCCACCTGAGAATGGTGATATCTGCAGTGTGTGTTAGAGGCACTGCATGCTGCTCCTTGTCCTGCTTGTTAAACACAGTCACTTCTCCAGTTTCCCAGCCAATAGCCAGAATTGGCCGTGTTGGGTGCCAGCACAGGGAAGTGACCTGGAAGGACTTCTCAACATGAGTATCTGGCACATGCTCACCCTATGTAGGAGAAGAGGTAAAAATTCCATATTGTGGATAGTGGCAGTTACTTCAGGAATTTCTGCCTGATTCATGGCAATGATATCAATTAAAAGATCTATTAAGGAAATGTTACCTTGCCTCTGGCTGAGCTAATCCAGCAGAAGATAACCACCATTATGACACAATGGTGAGCTAATTAAGGAGTGTGGCTGCAAATTCACAGTGCTGCCTGATGCCAGCAAGCACTCCCTGATAAAGACTGGCTTCCAATAATACTACCTCCAAAAATGGGCAGGTCAGGGCTATTTCCTCAAGATTCTTGAGCAAATTTCAGACACTAATACCTGAGAGGTCAAGGGTGTTTTGGGAATAGTACTAGCAGTGATGTACCATGTTTACTCTCATGCTCCCAAGAGTACAATGGTTCTCCAAAGGCTCCATGACATGTAATAAGGTCACTGCTTGACAGTTAATGGAATGTACATCTTATATCCTTATTTTTTTATTTCCTAAGAAGTGTAGGGTATAAATATGTATATTCTCAGTTCTTCTGGGCTTACCAGCAATCTCCAGTTACACCTGAAATGTATGAATGTGAACTGGTCATGGCCCAATAAATTTTTATTTTGAGATTCTAAAATTTTTCTTGTGCCACTTGGAAACACCAGAAGTATACTTTATAAACTAGTTTTGCAATAATACATTTAGAAAATTCAAATCTAAAAATCTCATCTAAAATTGTTATAATCACTTAGGAATTTAGCTATATTTATTTTTCAAGAAAAATTACAATATACACTTGGCACCAGGGATAGACTGACCAGTAAAGCAGGTGTGGCCCTTGTAAAGCTTCCTGTGTATGAGGGGCTCAGGAAAGACGGTGCAAGCTTCAGAGGAGCTGGGTGGGTGTGCACATGCCTTGAGGATGAGGCCACCAAGTCACTACCATCTTAAGTATCAACACCTTAACTGAGAAGAAGAATAAATGAAGTTCTGCACTGCAAATAGCAGTGGGTGCAGTGCTGGAATGTTACAGACTTTGGCAGGTTTTGGAGTATGGAAGAGTGTGATGTGAGATACAGATGGAGCCTTGGCCTTGGGGGCACTGGGGCGAGATAAGCGAATTCCATGCTTATCCTAAGAGTGAAGCAGGGTGGGGAGGTAGATGTGAGGAGTGATAGCTTACAAATCCACCATGGGGGAACATAGAGGGGTAGGCCCATGAGGACTCAGCAGCTTGAGTTGAGAGAGTTGTACTGCTCTTCAGGAAAGAGGGGACAGGAGCTTGGATGAGGGAAGAGTCAACGGAGTGAGAAACCACAGATGTGTCAGAGGATCTGGGGGTAAAACTGGAAGAATCAGGCAACAAATTACAAGGCAGGGAAATGGCAAGTCTTTTCCAAGTCTCTGTTCTGGGCATCAGAACCAGGACAGGTATATTTCATAGGTGCCAACAGTCAGCTTTTGCAGGGAGATGTGAGGCGGAAAAAAGTAGGGGTACAAGAAAATTTCAGTTAAGTTTTGGATTTGTGTAGGTTTAGGTTTCTTTTTAAAACACCCAAGAGATGCATGAAAGAAGTTGACTTCTATCTCCTCAACAGCTTGAGAGGCCTTCTTTATAGGAGAGGTGTTTGCAAGTCACCCATTGAGATGGAAACTGAAGCAACCAGGGAGGCCAAGATCATAGGAGGAGGAAGACAGATAGGTCCAGGCCTTGAATAAGCTCTGGGGAATGGCACTGCTGGGAAAAGGAAAAAGAGCAAAGTCCACTGAGGTAGCTTTGGAAGAAAGCCTCATGTTCTCTGGCCTGTTTTTTAGAAGGCTTCATGGGCATGCATAAGCTGGGTGAACACCTCAAACACTCAGAAGGTGTTGCACAGAAGTCACTGGTGATGGTAGCTGGGTGAAGTTACAGTGGTGAGAGAACCTGTAGAAAGCTGGGGAATGCGTGGGAGGGAAACTCAATTTTCTTTGTGATATAGGAAGTGTGTTGTGTACTGAAAGTGGTGGTGGGAGTTCTAAGAGTTTGAGGAGCTTGTACAACTTTCATTATTGTTGAATTGTGTGCCTTAAAAGACAGTTTTGAGTTCTAACCCCTAGTATCTTTGATGTGCCCCTTTTGGAAATATGATCTCTGCAGATATCAGCAAATTAAGATGAAGTCACTGGGTGGGCCCTAATCAAATATGACTGGTGTCCTTTCACGAGGAGAAGCGGGACTGGGGATGTAACTAAGTGGTAGAGTACTTATCCAGTTTGCACAAGGACCTGGGTTAAAATAAAGTAATAAGAGAAGGTAAATAACACATTGAGTAGAAGGCCATATGACACCAGCAGGAGAAACTAGACTCTAAAAGCTAAGGGACACCATAGACTTCTGGCAACAACAGAAGCCAAGGCAAGGACATGGAACAGATTTCAGAAAGTACAACCCTGCCAACAGAGGGTTTAGACTTCTGGCCTCCAGAGAGCAAGAAAGAATTTCTATTGGTTTTTTGGTACCAAGGTTTGAACCCAGGGATGCTTAATCACTGAGCCATATCCCCAAGATGCCCCCCTGCCCCCGCCCTACTTTTTTTTTTTAATTTAGAGACAACTTAGTAAGTTGCTTAGATGGCTTTGAACTTTCGATCCTTCTGCCTGAGCCTCTCGAGTTGCTGGGATTATAAGTTTGCATCACTATGCCCAGCTTCTAGCGTTTTAAGTCACTCAGTTTGTGGTTATTTGTTATGACAGCCACAGGAAACTACTATGGTTTCAAACAGCTAGATAAAGAGTCAAAGAGGAAGCTTATGAGTGGTCAGGAGTCAAGACAATGCTATAGGCCCATAGCCATGAACTGAAGTAGTCTTAAGTTTTCCTAAATACGTCACCAAACCTAAGTGGCAGGGGTAAACGAACTGCCACATACTAGGGTATTTACAATCTTATGAATCTAGACCTCAGGAAGAACTGATAAGGATAAAGCTAGAACAGCGCTCCTGTAGTCACACATACAAGTGTATTCAAAAATAAAAGAAAAATAAGGCAGGATCTACTAAAATCAGAATTGTTGCTTTTGATTGCTCACCTGTTCCAGATAGATATCCACAACACCCCCTGAGGTTGTACTCAGGGAGGCGACCCCCAAGATCGGATGAACAGGGTGCCAACTGATGTGGGAAGGGGACCCAACTGCTTCTGGGGCTTTGATTCGATGGTCAAAGTAGAGGGCCATGATGAAACACAGATCTGGCTGGGCTGAAACCTAAAAGGGGGAAAAATTAACTAAGAACAACTATAGAATTATGAAAGGGAAGCAAACATGTAATCTTAAAGACATTTGGCAACTTAAAAAATACTTCTTTGGACTGATGCAGGCAATTTTATTTGGAAGAGATTTCTGATAGAGAAAAAACACAAAATTAGAAGTAAAGAATCCTAACCCTGGAGTGACCACGATATGATGGAAGAGAAAAACACTTGTGGTCATCAAAGAAAAAACGAAAGAATGAAAGCCAGCCAGCACTGAGGCCTGCATCATCATTTTAACAAGCTTTTAGCATAACGATTACCTGTATAATTTTAAAAATTACTAAGGTAAACTCAAGGAGGCAAATGCTAACAGTTACTTAATTGCAACCTATTAACCACCTCAGTTCCAAACAAGTACTTACACTTATTGACTAAAAGTAGCTCCCAGTATCTAGGATATATAATTAGCAAATGCATAACTTTGGGCCAAAGGAGAAACAAGTCACTTATTGTAACCAATTGACTCTCTTCAGCTACAGGGTCCTTCTTCAAGGGCCTGAGGGCTCCATTACACCAACTTTTAGGCAAGAATCCGCCAAGGGTCACGTGGTAACAAAGCAAGAGAAGCAGTACTCCTGGCTATCACTGTGCAAGGAGAGCTAGGAGCTAGCTTGCGTCGACTTTCATGGGCACGACCCTGTAGGGGAGCTCAGGGTCACTGGCTGCGTCTAAAAGACATATTGAAAAAGTCACGCAGGAGAGTTTGATACAATGCAGTCTACTCAGACCACAGGGATCATTTTAGGACGCTCGACGGTTGCCAAAGCGCAAGAAGCTTTTGAGTTCCTGCACTCTTGTCTACGCGGATGGCACTGCCCACTCTCCACCGCGTCGGTCCAGAGCGACCCACACCATAACGCATGGCCAGCTAGGGCCCTGGGACCGTGCCCGGAGGTGAAAGTCCGTGCCAAGGCTCTCCAGTTTCCACGGGGTCGCGGGGTAGGCCGCGGATGGGGCTCAGCAGGCCCACCTCGACTCAGGCCCGGCCCGCTTGCCAAGCTCCATCACTCACCTGACCGTAGCCTTTGCGCCGTCCGCGTTGTCAGGACAACGCCGCGCCTGGGAGGCGGAAGCCGCAGAGGAAGAGCTACTCACCACCGAGGCCGCCCGAGGCGCGCGAGTGGCGGAAAGAGCCGAAGGCGGTCGGCAGCACTCGGCGCACCTCCCCGCGGCGGCTCAGTCCCGGAGGCACAGCGCCAGCCAGCTGCGGCCGCTCTGGGATGGAGGCGGCGATTGAGACAATGCCGACCCCGGGCAGACAGCGTGCTGTTCCGTGGCTCTCTGCGGGCTCCGCTGCGTCACCTCAGAAGGAAGGGCGCGGGGCCAGCGCTTCCCCGCGACAGGCCATGGCCCACGCCGTTCCCGCCTGTGGCGCGCATCCAGTACGTCAGTGCCGCGCGACGCCTCCAGGAGCCTGGGGCCGTGCGCACCCCAGCGGCTCCTGGCCTGTAGACAGACGGTGCCGTCAGAAGCGGACGCAGCAGTAGCAGTGTCCGCTCCGGAGAACGGGTGGAATTCCGAGAGGCGTGGAGTGCGCACGTATGCGGGGGACCGTTAGTTTTTTAAGCCCCACTTTGGCAGATACTGGAGTTTCAAAAACGTTCCTTCATCACTACGGTGAAGGAAAGTGACCACCAGCTCTGAGCTCCTAACCTTGCAGGTCCTAGCTGGGGTTCGCGCGCGATTCAAGACGCGGCGCTGAGGTAGCGTTTTCTTCTCACGCATCCGTCAACACGGCCGCGGCCAATCACAACTAGGTCGTTGACCCTATTGGCTGTCGTTCCGCCAATCGGAGGCAACGCACGGCCCGCACAAGCGCGAGGCTGGCGTCACAACACGCCTCGCGTCTCGGGTCCGCCTTCAGAGCCCTTGCGTGCGAGTGCGCCCGCCCGCCTCTGGCCTATGGTAGAGCTGCTGGGGGGGCGCGCCCGCCAGAAAGCTTCGGCGTGCTCGCCCCCGCGCGCGACGCCCGCCCCGCCCCGTCGCCGTCTCCTCCCTCTGCCCTGGAAGCAGATCCGCAGCTTAGGGAGTTGCAGAGTCGCCCCGCGGCCTGGGCCTTAAGCGACTACCGGGAGTCGCAGGCTAGGGCGACGGGAACTCGGCCTCTGGAAATGCGTCCTCCTCTGCTGGTCTCGCTCCCTCCACCTCCCCCGGTCTCGCTCCCTCCACGTCCCCCGGGTCGCCGGCATAAGAGGTGTGTCTGGCGGCCCCAAGGCTGGCGGGTTCCAGGACCCTGGGGAATACGCGGAGAGGTCAGAATCCGCGAGAGCGCCGCAGAGGGACACGGTTCGTTGTGGGGGACACTAGCATTGCCCCAGGAGCGCTAGGGCTGCTCCAGCCTCTCGGGAACGGCAGAAGCTTTTATTATTACCAATATTATTAAAAGCGTTTAAAGAAGTTAAGCCTTAATGGAAATTAGGCTCTTCTGTTTAGACCTTTTTTCTGAGGACATGATAAAGTGATCTTGTTTTAAATCCCAAAATAAATCGTGGGGACCCAAGGGCTATTTTAATGAAGAATTAGGCCCAAAGTTGAGATCCTAGAGGTTCTTGAGAGGTTCCTAGCGGTTCATTAGACAAGTTAATACATCTCGTCGACCCTTGTTTTTACTTTTTAAACGCCGTCGGTTTTTGGAAACCATCTGAACTAAGGCCAGTTAACTAAGCTAAAAGTCTGTGAAAGCTCCTGGCACCTGGGAGGCATATCAGTAAAAGTCGGTCCCCAGTGCCAAAGATTGTAGAGACTATTGCTTCTTGCCTTCAACCTCACCCTTTTTCCAAATAGCGAAGGAATCATGAGAGGGCATTGATGTGGGGGATGTATAATACCCTCCACAGATATAGTTAATAATACTATAATAATAAAATAATAATAGAATAAGGGAGTTGGTGTTTACATAGCATCAGCAACGCTATAGACAGCTTTTCAGGTTTTACAGATTTTTTTTTTAATTCTCCACATCTAGTCTTTTTTTTTTAATCTGCCTGTACCTCCATCAAACAGTAATTTTATAAATTTATTCATCAATTTGTTTTTTTTTAAGCACATGCTCCGAGCTGTGGTATTGGCATTTGTTGGGATAAGTGGCAGATGCCCTTGGGAAATAAACCACCGCAAAGTAGTGATGAGACCACAAATGTAAAAGAGATGTTCTAAAGAATTGCAGCCCTCCAAAGGAGGCACAGATGGCAACAAGACAAAATAATGTTTTTACCTGTCCCGACCTTGTGGCCCAGAGAATGTGTATATTCCCATTTTCAGGACATAATGTGTGGTGGGTAAGGTGGCTGAAAATTGGGAGAGGGGTTTTCCATATTGTCTGTTTAGATTGCTGGTTTGTAATCTGGGGCATTGTGTGAGAGTAAGTAGCCCAGCATTGACCTGTATGTATAAAGTGTGTATCTATTCAGGCATGTGTATTTGATCAGGAAATTTATATTTATAATAAGTTAAGGTTTAAAGACTTTGAGGAGAGAAAGAAGGGGGCTCAAAAGCCAGCATAGCTGTCTACATGCTTCTCTATTGGGCAGTGTTAACTGAGAGGGACATTCTGGAAGTGGGGTAGAGTGACTGGGGGTCAGGGGAGCCACATGCCCTTACCAAAGGATGTTCTATTGGTATTCAGGGATTTTTTTTTTATCCCACTGATCCCCTTCTTCCTCTGTAACATTCCAGCCATCCCTAGAACACAGAAAACAAAAGAAGGGAAATGCAGAGTCAGGAAAGGGAGGAAAAAAAAAAACTGCTAAGGGTATAGCTGCCCTATTCTTATCACCTGGTAGCCAGTTTCCTGTATCAATTACTAAAACATTTCTAAAGCAATTGTAGAATAACTAAGACCCTTTGTGTGTTGTACAACTGATGCTCTCCTATAACTCTTACTTTACAATGACCTTTTCTAATTAGGAATCCTTTTGATATTTGATGGGAAACAGTTATAGAGGAAGTATTTACTTTGATAGCTACTTGACCTTGACCAGTGCAAGGCAATTCATATGTATACTGAGCCAGGCACCTTGGAGATAGAGGTAGATAAGATATAGTCCCTGTCCTTGAGAAACTCACAGTCCAGTGAGGTAAACAATCACAAGAACAAGGTTAGAAAGTGTCCTGCAATGAAGATGCTTATAGCCAGTTAATGATAAAAATCTGAAAATGCCAGCCTGCTACTTATAAATACCTACATTTATCACTTGTGCATGTATCTAAAATTTCACTATGAGATGGTTTATTCCCATGAAGTAACAAAATATCCAGAGATTCCCTATCAGAATGAAAATTCCCACAAGAAAATAAGGATGGGTGATAAATGTATGTACTAGTTCCAGGTCTTTTGAACCAGAGTAGCTGCCAGAAACAGGAACATTGTATTGAGTATGAGGTTGTTTCAGCTCAGCAGAGAAGAGTGGTCCCATGAATGAAGTTGGGGGAAGATATCAGTTAAGCTACGGAGTTTCTATTCATGGAATACATGATGAAGCAGGAGGAAGTCACCTCTGGATATCTGGAAGAAGGAAACTGGTTAATCTACCTCACTATTGAGAATTCACCATCTATCCCCAGGCTAAATGGCCTTAAGAAGCCCAGTTTCTCTCTTGCCAGAATAGAATCTACCTTCATCCTTCTGGGCTCACCAAGAATGGGAATGGTAAGTGCATATGTGCTCCCTAAGAGCTAGTATACCTTTTTTTTTTTCTTCAACATTTTTAGTTGTAGATTAAAACAATACCTTTATTTATTTATTTTTATGTGGTTTGAGAATTGAACCCAGTGCCTCACACATGTGAGGCAAGCAGTCCATCCCTGAGCCCCAGCCTGCTAGCATACTTCTGATAAGACAAAGTAGGTAGAGTCAGGCATAAATCAGGGTGGAAGAGCCTACTGCATGCACATCCAGTGTCCATTCTTCCCTCTCCCTTGGTTATAAGGCCTTCCATTTTGTGAGCAATAGCAGTTGGCCCCACTCAAAGAAGACAGCGAGCCCTGTGACAAAGTGTGGTCTAGCCAATGAGATGTGAATGGAAGCTTCCAGGAAAACTCTGAAAAGGCTTCCACTTCTGTTTTTTTT